CAGTCGACTGTTCCTCCGAGGTGGAAGTAGAGCACTGTAAAGGATCCTCCTTCTCAATCGGAGGAAATGGTTTTTCTTCAAAAAGATATTATTGCCCCTAGAAAACTCCTTATTTCCTCCTCACCATTCCTCCTCAGAGGAACTGTCCCTGGATGATGGCTAAATATGATTTTTTGAAGAAAAAAAAATCGAAACGAAAAATGGCATGAAAAACTGTTTCACATAAAAGAGTAGTCGAAGATGCGCATAAATTGGTTAAAATTCACCATTTGAATTTTGATTCATCGATTGTTTTTAAATCATGCCAGCGAAACATGACACCAAGCAAAAGAACAACGAATGGCGAAAAAGTGAAAGATTACTTTACCCATACTAAACAAATACTAATAAATTAAACAAATTTGAAACTAAAATGACCTGCAAATCTTTCAATCGCTAGGCAAAGCGAGGCAAAGTTATACCATCGAAAGAAAACCACGAAGTCGTCATACGAGTCAAAATAATAATTAATTAATAAACAAAGGAGCAGTTTTTTCGATTGAAAAATCAGATTTTTTTTTAAATAAATCTCTATTGGTTGGCGTCTCTCTCTCTCTATCTCTCCGAGAAAGACTCTCTCACCGTTTCTCTCCAATGGTATCCGCGACATTCAAATGTTGGTTCTATGACAACATTTCAAATTCAACAATGCGATGGTAAATGCATGAGAAGAATCGGTGAACAAAATCGAATTGAGTAGATTTTGGGCCGAAATTTCAATTTGAGAACGGTTACTTTGATGCGATGAACTCAATTCGCACATCCGTTGCGATAAAACCATGAAAATTACATATGAATTCGTTTATTGTGTGCAAATAACAAATGGTATTTATGTCAAGAAATGGGAAGTTAATTTCGTTCTTCTTTTGTCTGAAAATTCAGTGAGTAAAAAAATTCGATTTTTCTCATTATCATATCGGCCTAATCTCAATAATACTATTGCCATTGCAGAATCGCTTTTGATTTTTATGACATCTTTTATAGTCGAGAATAGTCTAGTTTCAAATCCATGCATAATTTCATCATCGTGTACGAGCATCAATCAGCATATTTATTATGATATATTCGAAATACCAAAATTGCACCGCGTACACTCAACCGCGCGCAATTTAAAAGGAAAAAATTTGCATCATCATGGTTCTCTTTTGTGCCGATAGCCATGCAAACGCTTTACGTAATGACAAGCCGTTTATCGGTCACATATAGAATCGACGATTTGAACTCAATTTCGGACTTACTTACATTTTCAATAAGCAAAGAAAACTAAAAATGAACATTTAAATTAAAAAAAAAAACTGCAGCAAATATATATATATATATATATATATAAATACGGTGTCTACGTCTTTCAATTCATGAAAACCGAAAGCATTGGTTGGCACATGCGATATTTAAAATATCAAAGCGTTATTCACATTCGATATTATTACATTAATATTGTTATGCCACGATTTGATTTCAATTACACAAAACGGTCGCGAAATCACTCGGTTCATCATTCAAAATTGTCCTTCCTTGTGATGAAAGTCTAACCGGGCTTTAAACTCACATCACACGTGGTCGCCTGTGATTGATTATAAAAGTTAGAAAAATGTAAATGAAACGGTTTGGTTCGTTGCAATTACTAAAATCAACATCCCATTAACACGTTAAATGTAACGTGTTCGAGTTCAGTCACATTGCGCCATCGATGTGCCACAAAAGTTGTTTGAACACATTTTTTTTGCTTCGTATTTTTCTTATTCATTGAATGGGAGAGCACGGAACTTTCTAATTCAAATTAGAGCACGTGTTTGCAAGCATTTTTTTCAGAAATGCATTGATTCGATTCACCATGTGCGCAATGCAAATATAATCATTTTATCATTCATATACAATTGATTTGATCATATTTCTTCTGGGGCTGGAGAAGAGAAAAAAAGCAAGTTTAAATATTTATGGAAATTGGTCTAGACGTGTTCGTCTTTAAGCAAAATTAGAAAGCGATTTTGCCGCGGTACGAACAAAAATGAGAGTTAACGTGAGTTCTAAAGAAGAATGTCTCCTTCAAAAAAGTCCGCAAATAATGCATTTTTTGTGTGGAAAAAGACTTTCATTCATTCCGTTGTCGACGATTTTGTATACTTAGATTGTGAAACACGATATACGACACAGACAATATCAAATGAATTGCCTACATTAGGGCGTTTTTTGTAATGGGACAAAAAACTCACAGCATTCGTTGAAACATATTGTATGGGATGGAACTCATAAACGAATTGTGAATAGTATTCAATCGGCAGCAAGACTGGTTTGATAACTTGGTCGCTGTATTACTGTGAATCGGTGGATCGTTGTTAATACCAACTTGGTATCTATCTAGTCAGCAATCAATTTTACAAGTTAAATTTTGAATGAACGTGGTTTGAAACGAGCATTTATTATAATCATCATAAATATGGAACAGGGCAATTTATGATCGAAATGGAGCCAGAAATAAAAAAAATGCTGTACATTGAGAATGAATTACCCATTTATTTATGTACATGTGATTTTAATGGTGTGTTTTACGCGTTTGTTTATTGTGCCGCTTATCTCCAGGTTACATTACACTCAGGTGTACTTCGGCGAATTGAATTGCGATTTCCAATGAATTCGATTGGTCAGTGAATTTGATTTTTGATTCATTGAAACAAAAAAAAAATTGCGATGCAAATCAAACCGATTGGTGTCTTTCCTGCCACTTGGATTTCTATATCTAGATTCTATTTTTGAGCGAAACACGAGGTGCGCATTTTGTTACGTCGTTTTATTTTTTTTCTCTGTTGTGACTCATTTGGCATGAATATGTGATGATATGATTAAATCGTGTGAATTGCAAATCACGAATGTCGGAATGAATGAATGTCAAGTATGTATTGAATGTGTGACGCCGGTTTCATTATTGACCGCCAAAAGAATAGAATGTAAATTCTCATTGAACTTGAACCAATTTCAGCCAAAAAGGACTAATTTTTTGATTTGAATTTTTTTGAATTTAAGACATACAAATTCAAGATCGATACAAAAGCAATATATGTATGTTAATTAAATCAAATTCTTTCTTCCCTAACAAAATGTGTACTTTAACATTTTGGCACAAGTTTTTTTACCTGTACTTCGACACACAAAAAAACCATTCGACTTTGAATACATTAAGCGAGCATGTACACAGTGAGTCGTTAAATCACAGTGTCAATTGTCATTAGGTGGTTTAAAGTAATGCCTCTGAAAAAACAACCAATCCCATTGTGTTTGTCTGTTTATTCAGACTGGTTTAACTACTCTTTCGAACACACGAAATCCTTTCAACACAAAAACGGATTTTACAACGTCTTTTCTCTCATTTTCACAACTCAACAAAAAAATTAGATGCAATTCGGTATGAATGCAAGGGACAAAGGGATAAGATTACACTGGCAATCATAAACGAAAGGAGATGTTTTTCCAGTTGACCGCATCATTTCATTGTTGTTTAAATACAAATAAATGCAAAAATGTCTAAAGAAAAGTGGAATTTCCCATATTGCAACAAAAATTGAAAGATTTTTTTTAAGTTGCCGAAAAAATGGTGAAAAAAAACCATTGAAAAAACAAACGTATTTTAAACGTCCATTTCTACAGAGAAAGTGGTGAAAGAAAATGAAATGAATTCAAAAACAAGATTTAAATCAACTCAAAAAAAAAGATCCAAAGACAATCGAATTTTTATCGTTTCCAAGCAAAAAGGTAAAAAAAAATCGGTTGCAAAATTTTTACGTTTAAATCTTCCTTCGATACGAAAGTGACACCAATAATTAAAAACAACGCTCATAGAGTTCCGAAAAAAAATAACGGTAACTTTTGTTTGTTTGAAAATCTGTATAACAAATCGTGGAAAAGGGACACGAATAGTGTTCATTGTTTGAAGACCCCTTTTTAAAAGCCATCGCAGCTAACGAACAAATCTAGACCTATGTGTTTATTGAAAATCAGGCAGATTGTAGTCGATATTTCTGGTATGCGGTGAAAAGAGAAAGAAAGAGGGAGAAATGAGATCAATTGAAAATTGTGTGAGAATGAGAGAAAGAGAGGAGAAAGAGCACAAATGTGCTTTGAGTATAAATGTTTATAATTGTAACGGCATAAATGACATGCTTTGAAATAGTTTGGTGCTCCTATGTCATATATAAAAAAAGCGCGTACACAATTCAATCCCCTCGAATGAATGCAAGCGAACGATAAACAATCGAGAGAGCGAGAGTCGAGGCGACAATAATAAAAACCAAATCACTCATTTTATATACCATGATGTGTGTGTCGCATACAATGTATGACAAAGAAACAAATATACAGCTGTTCATATAAAGCGCCGAGATATGATAGCCGATATAAAGAAGAGTGCAACGGTATAGCGAGCTCAATATCGAATATATCTCGATTTATGTTACATTTTTATTATTTATTTGGACAGAGACAGAAACATGTGATGTGCAAAGTCACGACCGAATGGCATAAACCGAAAGACGAGAAGCAAAAAGAGATCGAAATAAAAACATATTGCGCACCTATTTGCCGGTTCGCGAGCCACAGCTTTAACCAAAAACTATAACACATGGTCATCGAAAGGCGAACAAACACAACAAATAGGAAACAATAACCATCGTAATCAAACAGTTAGCTATTCGTTGGTTTACTACAACCAAAACGAAAAAAATCCGGTTGAATTGATGATCATCATCGTTTCAATATTGTCTATGCCTGAATCGAATCATAGGTAGCATGCGAATACAGGAATAAGCAACAGCCGACATACACTTACACATCATAAACTCTCTCTCTATCGCACACATGCACATACATACACGCATATGGATCTCGTTGCATCGTACATTATGCTTTATTGTGTCGATTCGTTGTTTACACCATTCGAAAACAAACGCATTTTCAGTCGGGCAATCACACGCGACCAGCTCAGACGTATTGGAATATCGCCTGTTTTTTTTTTTTCCAAGAAGCAACAAAAAATGTTACATCGCTCTTATCGGACGAACTAACGATAGATAGTGACGACTGTGAAACAAAATCATTTTCGTTAATTTTGTTTTGTTTTTCTTACTGATTATTAGTGAGTTTATACAGTGAGTTAATTATTTTTCAAAATTGTGTGAACTGAACTGGCTTGTGTGAAATAATAAATAATTGAATCGTGTGCAAAACTGAACTTGATGAGTGTATAATTTGAAGAATTGTTTTGCTCAAATTAATTTGTGATTCGTGCGGAAAACATTATATTATTGGTGGTGTTAATTATCAAGGTAAATAAATTCATCCAATTAAAAACATCTATTGAGTTAAAGGAGAAGAAACGAAATTTTGGCGCATTTTTTGTAGTGGATTCTCAATTCTAAACAGTTTTTCTCTCAAAATGTTGAAATTTCGATGAAACTATATTTTTAACATTTTTTCATACCGTCCACCGTGATATATTAATCTCATAATCAAACGAGTACATAAGTCTTTTTTAAATTCGTGATTTATGGTCGTCGTTTAATTTACGACCGAAAAAAATTGAATGCGAATCGAAAATGCGTGAATTGGTAATTCTGACGCTCTACTGGTTTTAAATGGCTAAAAATAGCGCTGTGGTTGATGATTGAATCCCATTTATTTTCAGTTCCCACAAAAATGTTCGTAATGACGTCTTTCCTCATGACAAAACACCGGTTTTAACTCTAAAAACAATTGATTCTCCCCCGATTTAAACATCGATGATAACCACGAACTACTGCGTAAAGAACTGTCTCATGCATTTTTCACTGTCATACGAATAAACCGTATCATAGTAACGTCATAATAAAAAACAAAAACAAAGACCAAATTGAATCACTGAGAAAATCGCTGATTATGAGCGTCACACACCGGATATGAGCGGGAATGCATTGAACATGGCACGCGCAACCTATACAACTGTTAAATTAGAAATAATGCATATCCGGAATCGACGCACATTTAAAATTCAACAAAAATCGTTCCGCATGTCGATCGGGATACGTGGTATTGTCGCCGTCTGATTCAATCCAATGGCATATTTGCAAGTTGATTCATTTTTAGCTCAGACACTCTCACTCTTTCTCCTCGTTTACCGAAAATGAGTTTCGTTCTGTGTGAATGCATTCCAGAAACTGTGATCATAGAGCACGGCGCTTCATGCATACAAAAAAAGTAAACAAAAAAAAATGCAATGCCCTCGTTCGAACATAAGAGGTGCACGTTTTATTAAACGAACATATGCGTAGAGGAAAAACTACATACAAATTATGTATATATATAATCGTAGTGCATGTTTTGAACGACACATGGATCGTAAGAAAAACATGGAATGTAGAGCATAAAAAAGCAGCGATAAAAAAATATGAGGGTAACGTGTTAAATGCAAATGCGTTGATGAAAAAACCAGCAATTTTTGTGCGTGCACAAACTGTCAGAACGACGACAATAGAATCAATTACAAACGATCAATGTGCACTTCAAATTCCATATCATATTCGTTCTTTCGTGATTCATTCGGTTGTGTTATTGCAGCCGTTCGCCCGTCGAAAGATGTACAAATTGTTGTTTTTCCGTTTTTCGATATATTCTATTCGAATCGAAGAAAATATTCGAGACAAGAAATAGATGTCTTTGTACGCGTGTGCAGTTGTGCACACGTTACACGTCTTCGTACTCTCTAATGCAAATGCATTTCACACTCTCGCAACCCAAATGATAAAATACGAAGCGTGATTAAATGAGGGTACAATGTGTTATTGAAGTTATGATGTGTCTATGCATTCAAACGATCATATTTCTTTGAGAAAAATACAAAAATTGTCGCCTTTTCAATACTCAGAAATTGAATGAATGTTGTTGAAAAAAGTGTATTATTAATGCATTAGACTAAGAGTCGTTGCCTTGAATCAAAGTCACATTCAATGACTGACAGAAGAGAAGAAGAAAAAAATCCTTAAATCTAAGTATAATTTCCTGTCGTAAAGATTTAATGCTCATATCTCTGGAATTAATCACTTCACCGGTACGATTATTACAATAACATCAACAAATGTGTAACCAGGCAAACAATCACCGTCAAGTGGTGTGTATTCACTGCGTCAATACTACTTAAAATGACTAATTGCAAAGATCATTTCCACGAACCAAAAAAATACTTCCAAATCGCTTAGTAATGATTTCATTTCTCATTCAATCCGGGGTTCAGGTGACTGTTTTTTATTGTGTATGCTTAACTCACACATTCGTCGGTCGGTTGTATTTTGCAAAAACTTGTTTACATAGCATGTTTATTGGTTGAATCATCACCATTCCGCACAAGCTACTGTCGCACAAATTAGTCGTACACAAATCAAATTCACATATATATTCTCACGAAGACGTGTAACAATATCACACGGTCGTCTATTTTGTGAATACGTGAATACCAATTAATATGCATATTAACCAAAGATACTACGGTTATTAATGAATTTCATTTTTTTTGCATAGTAATGACCTTTCTTCAATACCAATTCAATTTGTATCCATAACTGTACATTTTTCGCATTTTTTCTCCAATATTCGAAGCATTTTTGTATATTATTCGGTCGGATTTTGAGTATCGCCCTTCGATAGTCGACCGGTTGGGCGAACACTGGTGTGTAATACACATTAATAAAATGGCCAGAATGGTGTGCAAACAAAAGCTATTTTTGAAATCGATATTTTATTGAATCGGAACTGATAAGAGAGTCTTATTGAGTTCAAATGTAAACAATGACTGCAATTTATTTTATCGCCATATCGAAGTGAAAACGGGTCACCAACATTCGCCATGACAATAAACACCAATATCGATTTGTTCTATTTAAAAACCGATAAGCATCCAATAATTTTTGTGTTGAACATTTCCACATTTATTTCAAAAGTTTCAGTGAGTTCATTTCCATCGACAGAAATACATGTTCATAGCAGCTTGGGTGAACCTAATTAAAAACATACATTTTTGTAAAACGATCCGATTTCGGTGCAGTACATAAGAATAGAAAAATGCCAACACAATGAGACTAGCTTTAATTGCGGAGAATTCTCTGAAACTGCCAACACACATATTTTAAAAGTAAAAGTATTTAATGTTGCGTTAAAAATCCATAAATTCTCGGTTCACAAGGAACAACTTACAAGGAATTTGTGCATGTGTGTGTGTGTTTGGTCTTTGTTTTCTCTTATTGTTTGTTTCTTTTGGTGCATTTTAATTTCCATAAAAAGAAATTGTACGGAAACCATAAAATGTTTCAACAAATCTAATATTTGAATATGTGCACGTGTGCAATAAAATGTATGAAAACAAAAGCGCGCTTGAAATCTATGTTAAATGTTGAAACATTGGATTGCCCAATCTAAAATCGTCGAAATGACTAATCACACTTGAGAGTTGTGTGTCATTAAACGAAACTCTATTTATTTATTTTCTTTTTGTTTTGTTTGTTTCATTTAGATAAAGCGTAATTACGATGAATTTTCAACGATCGTATAGCCGTGTTTGGTGGGCTAATGATAACAGTACGAATCAAGTAACTGAATCAAAATTGCCGCATCAAATTTACTATTATGGACCACAATCATTGGGTCAATTAAGTAATATTGCTGAGGAAACATCGTTCCAAATAACATCGAATATACGACGCAGTGTTCGAAGTCATGATTCCGGATTTAACGATAGCGATCATTCGCCAAATTCAACAAGTGACTCTAGTCAAATATCCGCTCACAATAGTCCAATCGATAACGATGACAATGGCAATTTTGAATCGCCCAATCGAAAAAATGTAAGTGGATCATTGGATCGATCACCGTCGATTGCAAATGAAAGTGTTAAAACACCGCCAACCGTTATTCGTCGCAAGATTAGCACAATTTTTTCGCCAACAGTACGACGTATATCATTCAGTGCACCAAGTACACCAGATGCATTCGAACCACCCAAGTTGAATAGTTCATTCAGGTCGCTCGATTCATTTTCATCGACGAAAAAATCGAAAGAAAATCATGAACGTTTGAATAGCAGTTTAAATTCATGTTTGAACAATAGTCGAGCGAAGAGCTGCAGTTTACGTCGTGGAAAAACCATTTCACCGAGCAATAATTCCAGCTACAGACGACGAGCCAATCGACGTCGTCTATTGGATTGTGTTTCACAAGTGTCTGGTTCAACGGGCGATGTTTACACACTGGCCTCGGACTCGTCATACGAAAAGGGAATCAAAGAACAACCGGATGAATACCATCATTACGAAACTGTCAGTGAAGTAACGAGCAACACATCACGTGCCAATTTAGAAAATACTACAGACGAATATAATAATGAAACGGTGACTTTTGGAACGGGCGATGAGAATGTGACACCGAAAAAAGACATCGATAGCAGCATTCAAGTGCTACATCGAGAGAAACTTCCGTTGCCAACCTATGATGAACTCTATCCGCCGAATGGTTGTTCGACGCCAATGTTAAAACCGAAGAAAAATGCATCGATTGCAGTCGATCATAGGGAATCATCCATCATCGCCATGCATGCAGCTAGTCAACAAGTGCAACAAAACGATCATGATTTCTACGATTCGGATTACAATTTATCACTGGCACCGACCATGAATTGGGAAAGTTGTACGTACGTTGAATACACAAATCCCGCACTAAACGGACACGCATGTTCGGCACAATTTTGGCTTGACGAACAACGGACAATGTATTGTCATGAAATCATGTCAACATTACAAACAAAATCAATTTTATACGAAGCGGCACGTTCTTTAAAATTGAATCCAGCCATTGCTGCAAAGTTAATTCATCAAATTCAATTGAAGGGCATTGCAGTTGAAACGAAATTTGATGAAATCGATCGGATATTTGAATCGCATGCAAAATTAGTGAAACGACTACAACGCCGTTCCACATTGATAGCTGGCATTGACGATAATGAATGCATTGAAATTGCCGATAATGAATTCAAGGAGAAAATATCCATTTTGATGAAAACACTTACCGAAAATGTTTGCCATTTTATGAGTCGATTGAATTCGAAAATAATTTTCCAAAAAGTCGATTGGTGCCAGGAAAATGATGGCGGCAAAGATTTAAAACACTTTGAACGAAATGTACGAAATGTAATTGATTTGTGCCAAGATTTGCGCGTTGCATGCGAAACAAAAATCGATGATATCGAAACGAATGTGTTGCTTAAGGACTTTTATACACTAAAACAAAGCGTATTGAAAGCAATACGAAAGGTATTTCGGCGCTTGATGAATATTATTGTGGGACGAATCGAAGAAAATCCAAATGAAATGCTATTACGAGCAAATATAAATGTGATTGCAACATTACCCATGGAAAGTGTGTACAATTCAACGGAGAGATTTTCATCGTTGAACGACGCCTTTATTACAAGTGGTGTGCTTCGTGTTTTACTCATGATTTGTTTGGATGCTGACAAAATATCGATACGAGCGATGGCATTGCGGGCACTAACGACAATTTGCTCATCGGCCGAAATGATACGACAGTTCATTGAAATTGGCGGTCTAGATGTGGTTACCGACATTTTAACCGATGACAAACGCAACGATGTCAAGTATGAGCCAGAACTACGTGAAGCCGTCTCGGTCCTAACACAAGTGACAGCGCCTTGGCATCATGGTGACAGTGGCAATATCGATGATCTGCTCAAATTATCGATTGATAATTTAGTGACACGATTGTCGGTGCTTATCGAATCTACTGATTGCCTACAAACACTCATGCTATCTGCTGCTTGTCTCAATAATCTTTCACATAAATCGTCGCTCGCATTTTATTCGCTCATGGATAATCGAAGCGTACATCATTTGATTCAGGCATGTGATAGATATCAGCAACGACGCTACGATTTTATGAGCTCAGCTATTTTCCTATATGTAAGTGTCATTCACTCTTTCTTGTACTTCTTGGATTTTATACGAGCCGCAATTCTTCACACATTCCGACAATGTGTTTTTTTCACGTTCGCGTTTAAAGAATGTCAATATCCAATTTGTTCACTTACTTTCATTTGTCCTTTTTTTTCATGAAAAATTTTCTCGCTTTTTTTCTTCGAATTTTTTTTTGTACATTTACACAACGACATTTAACATGTTCAACACATTATCACTTGCGTTTTTACTAATAATTTTTTTTTCTCTCCCTCCACGTTTTAATAGGAACAAATCACAAGTATGCTGTTTTCAATGGCGGGAAATAAGAAATGCCATCAACATCTCGCGCATAAAGAAATCATTTACTTTATGTCATTTATATTCCAAACACAGTTTCATATAAAGTATGCTCGCACTTCGGAAAAAATGGCGCTACGAAAGACGATTAAAAATATTCTACATATTTTTGCTCGTCTCATTCACCATTCGGCTGTCGGACAAGAGATACTCGAACAAAATGCCATACCAATATTTTCACGTGTCGAACAAAATCTTCGTGTGGACGATGTATACGCCAAAGATCTACAGTACATAAATAAGAAATTGAATAAATCACACGATGCATCAGACCCTCAAATTTCCACCCGGACACAGCATCGTCTCAGCGTATGCAATATGACTGGTTCATCGTTGCTCGAAAGTTACGTTTAATGGTGAAACTCTACGAAACATTTAATTATTTCAAATGATTCATTTCAAATGACAGACGAAGAATTTATAACGGAAATTGCGTCTATTTATTAATTGCCGTTGAAAAATGCCCGTATATTTTATAAATATAATTTAGATAAACAAAGTAGAAGAAGAAGAAACTATGCGCGCACGCTCGCCGCGCTTTTATTAAATATACTTGCCACATCGATTTTTATTGATAGGATCATTTTATCGACGAGATGAGAAAAGTGAGAGAGGGAGAGGGAGAGAGAGATATAGAAATATTTGTTAGTTGTAAAAAATGAAAACAGTGCCATCACATCATTTCTTTTATTCTCCCCAGTTTATATATTATATATATTTATTATGTGTATCATCATTTAATAGAGTTTAGTCAGGAAATGCCGTCTTTTTAATTAAGATTCTGCTATTGGTTTTTTATTTGGATAGAAATTTACTGTAAATATATGAGAAAATTATATTTATAAATACCGAAATACAAAATTATATGCTTTAAATGTAAGAGTTTTTATTTTCTTCGCATGGATGTCAAGGTTATTAAAATGCATTCAATTCGGTGTGAGATACTTGGTTTGGCCTGATTTTCTTTCCTTCATTCAATGTTATCTTGATGGGAAAAATGTATTCAATGCCGTTTTTTTAAATTTCAACTACAAGATGACGAAGAATTGACGACAAATAAAATAAAAAAGACGAAGAACCTGAAAGAGCAACGACTTTCTATAGTTTTTGAAAGGAGCATATCTGCATCGGCATCTTGAATAAATGGTAAGTACGTTAAAAGGATTTTTTACATTGGATCCCCTCGTAATATGCTTCACATAATATGATTTATCCATTTGGTGGCTTTATTACCTACTCTGAAGACGAACAAAATCGCTCAACATATCAAAGCATTCGTTACAATCGGCTACAATTTTTCAACATTACCAACGAACCGTTCTGAAAATAGAAAGAAAAACGGCTGAATTCAAAACACACAGTCGCGTCGCATCTTAACTACCCTTCTTGAATTCAGTGTGGTATATACGTATGTTTGTGTTTGTGTGCTGAGAGCATATGTGCAAAGGTCTATGCCTTGTATATCCATCTGTGTGTATGGTATGCTGTGCACACAACAAGCAGAGGGTTCGTTAAGTGAACACGAATAGGAATGTATAGCAAACACCAAATTAATATCGTTTTCGATGATTCGCCGTGTTAATTCTACTTCTTCTTCGTTTTGCCACCAAAACATCTGCCGGTACGTTACGATGCTTCATTTAAAAACTGCATATGGGTGATATACGAGCAAATATGCGCTTATGGTAATTCAATTCAGTCTCTTCATACATATATATTCCATATGTGTCATTTCTCTAGACAAACGAAAGACGTTAACATTCTCGTCATGCAACTAGTATTTTTTTTTTGGAACAACATAGGCCCTTTAAATTAACAGAATAGACTTTTTTTCATTCTCGACATACTTGTACAAAGAAGAATGACATTTATTGTATTTTTGGTATTTGAAGTCAATTCAACGGGCAACGAAAAAACAATATGAAAAGCGTTTTAAATTAAATTGTTCCCATTTTTTCATTCCATTTCTTTGTGAGTGTCGTTGGTATAAAAAGTTTCTTCAAAATCTCAAGAAAATTGAGTTAAGACATAAGATGAATGATTTCCATCAAAAAGAAAGTGGTTCGATGAATTAAAATTCTTCGTTCATATTGTTCTTAATAGAATTCTCATTTTCGTCTAATGAAATGCACTCTATGGGGAATAGCAACAAGAGAGTGATTTCAAGCAATTAAAAATGTGTATCTTCTGGACTAATTTTAGATGTGCAATATACATTCCACCATCCAATTATGTAATAAGGTTGTGTAAGGAATCTTATTTATTGATGTAGATAGACTGAAGGCATTTGGTCTTGCAGTGAAAATCTGTGAAGCTCGAAGTTCATTGGCATTCTGATTGACCGAAACGATTTTCCACACATTTGCATCATCGCATCTGTTTAAATTTCGTCGAAATAAACGGTAAATCCATTCAAAACTGAAATGATCTCAATGAATTATGTGTTGTGTGTTCGTTTCTGAGTGGTGTGTAAACAAAATCGAGACTGCCAAAGAGACACACGTGCCAAACACAAAATATTTTTAGCATTTGTTCCATTCATTAGTGCAACAAGGCATACGCGGGTGCAGCAGATGTCTGCTCATATCCGAATCTCAACCATTCAAATAGACTCAATTACAATTTTTATTCGAAAAAAAAACGGTATTTTATTTCATTTGAAAACAAAAATAAAATGATTTTATTAAACCAAATATTAAAAGTGGCATTACCGAAATTTAACATATGAATTTTAAGCAAACAAGCACGTATGTTCTACATACGGAATCTTTGTATCAGAAGATGTTCTTGCCATGTTCCATGGTGAATATTTTGCTTGGCTTAATTTAAATTTTGGAGGAATCTTTGCTGCATAAGATGTTCTTGGCACCAATTGAAAGCGTTGTCAAACATCATTTTCCATGGTGAATATTTTGCTTGGCTGAATTCAAATGTTGGCGAAACATATGGCCATTGGAACATTTGTGTACAACGTTCTGGATGAGGCATCATTGCCAAATGTCTTCCATCGGATGAACAGAGAGCTGCAATGCCCTGAACACTACCTAAGAGGAGAATCACAAAAGAAAAGAATCGAATTAATTTAAAATAATCGGAAACATATAATGAAAAAATTGCAAAGCAATAACCACAACAACATTAATGTTTAGCAATTGCTTTAATTTGAGATTTGGTAGTTGTAATCGTTGATTTCTGTGAAAGAGAAAAAAAAAAACAAAATTCTCACTATAGAATAGTACTCCCTACCGTCTTTTGAATAAGTTTGTCGTTGCAAGTAGCCGATATCGAACTGCGAATGCGTTAGCTACTATGCAAAATATGACAATCACCATTTGATGTTGTTACTGCTGTTGTATGTCATGTTGTCGCTGTGACGATGCTCCGATGCTGTTGTGTGTACGTACAACATATCCTACTACCAAATCTCAAATATTTGTCAGCAATCTATTATTTGCTGTTGCGAATTTTGTGTCTTTCATATATGTGTGTGTGTTTGTGGTCAAACTATATAGTTCCTTACATTCTAATGGTTTCCCAATCATCTATCACTCACTCACTCATCCACACACACTCTTTTTTTATTTCACATAGATTCAATTTCCATCATCGTTATTTGACAATATATTACAATTAATGTATGAATGTGAATGACGATAATCGAAACTAATCGTAAAAAAATCAACAACTACCATTCGGATTCATTGGATATGTTTCGGTTGGCCGTCCATTATCGTCGACATAACGGATTGGAGCGAGGTCTCCTGCGAGTATTTCGTTGAAAACGTTATCTGTTCGGAATGAAAATCGCCCTTCATGATGTGCAATCCAACAGCCAAGTACCATACCTAAAAGGAGAATCACAAAAGAAAAGAATCGAATTAATTTATATTAATCGTAAAACAATCAATAATTAATAAGCAACTTTTAAGTGATTTGCCCCTAGACCATACCATTCATATTCTTCAACATAACTGGTTCATGCATGAACTGAATTTTCAGTGTTGACCATCGGCATTCAAAACGTTCGGATTTATTTTCAAGCAGCGCAATATCGGGCACAGCATTGACATCATTGGCATTCGGTTCGGTTACGCCAACCCAACCCAATAAACTCATCAACTGGCAACCGTTACACACACCCAACGAGAATGTGTCCGAACGTTTTTTGAAATGTAAAAATTGACGACGAAGCGATTCATTGTGAATGATTGTTGCTGCCCATCCTTTAGCAGATCCATTGGTGTCTGCGTAGCTGAAACCTCCCGGAAATAGAACACCGCGATAACGATCCAGTGTCACTTTTCCTTGGAGCAAATCATTCATTACAACATCGTGCACGGTGAAGTTTGATTGTATTAATGATGCAATCATTTCACGATCACCATTGGTACCTTCTTCACGAATTACAGCCACCAAAATATTTTCGTCGGTTGGTTGTGCCAACAATGTTGCATATTGATCCGGATTAACGTTGCATGTGTATTGTGGCCCAGTACGATAGTCATACGTAGCATATTCTTGACCTATGCAAGCAACGTTTGCTTGTAGCTTTTCCAATTCGAAACTGGTGCGTTCCCATTGTTTGAAGTAAGTGAGTGTTTTTCCTTCAAGCAATACACTCTTTTCGTATTTAATTAGCACCTCGGAATGAATACCATTTCCAGTCGACTGACCAATGTGATAAACTGGAACACCTTCTTTTTGGAATGTTTGCAAAACGGTATTGAGATTTCCTGGCGATACTTCCAGCAACCATCCTGTCTCTTCGGCAAATAGAGCGACCACGGGTGCATTTGTTTCAGTTAAATTATTTGTCAAAAAGTTTTTGGTACCAATTTTGCGAATGGCATCGGTTAGGTCAACTTGGAATCCACACAAACCACCAAATGCCATCTCAAGTAGTGCCACAATCAAACCACCATCACTTATATCGTGACCGGCAAGTAATTGTCCTTGTGCCAGAAGTGATTGAGTGGCGTTGAAGGCTTTCTTGAGAATTTGTGGCTGAGAAATGTCGGGAGTGTCGTTTCCTTCTTGAGCATAGGCTTGAGCAAGTGCCGAACCACCTAAGCGGAATCGATTTTCAATGTTCACCCAAACAATTTCACCGTTTCGGAAAAGAGCCGGCGATTTGAAATCTGGGGTCACTTTAACACGGACATCTTTACAGGGTGCGTAGGCTGAAATCACCAATGTACCCGGCGATTTAATGGTGTCACCTGTGTTGTGAAAAGTGGAAAAACGATAAAAATTAGAGTGACATGAAATAGCACAGTTGTCGATTCAAAGTACCTTTAATTCTAGCAGCCATCGAAAGTGAATCTTTGCCACCGTCCACCGCAATATTCAATTCCGACATGATGTTACACATTGCTTGACATGCTTCATACATTTTGGCACCTTCTCCCGGTAATTTGGCTGCCCACATCCAATTGCCAGAGCATTTAACATCGGCCAACTCACTCACTTTGACAAAAGCCAAGTTTGAAATGGCTTCAGCCACAGACATGCGTGCATTAGCTTTGGCCGATATGACACCTTTCGTTGGTTGCATACCGATTGATGTGGCAATCCCCTCATATGTGAAATGCGAAACAGTGGTACATGCAAAGTCGGCCAACGGTGTATGTAAGGGCCCGATGCACTGTTGTTGTGCAATTAAACCAGTGACACATCGGTCAACTTTATTCGTTAAAAATCGTTTGCTACCAACGCCAACCAAACTAAGAACGCGTTTCAGTGGTTCGCTCACGTCCGTTTTGTCCAAGAAATCAAGCTCAAGTGGCACCAACACTTTTTGTTCAGTTGTCAAATTGTATTCTTTACGTGGCATTTCACCTAAAATATCCTTGAGATGCATATCAAATGGAACGGTTGTTTTGGCTGTGCGTTGACGTTTTTCGACTGTTTCATTCAGGTATTTCTCGAATTTGGCTTCAGATTCAATCAATGTTACGTAACCGTCGCCAGTCACAACTCCAACAAACGAAATCGGACAACGTTCGCGAGCGCATATTGCTTCGAGCAATGGTCTGTCTTCGGGTTTGCACAAAATTGCATCGTTTTCTTGATACTCCGCTCCCCATAGTTCGAGAACATTTATAGTTGGATCACCCAATTGGAATTCTTTTGTGAAAATAACAGCACCTGCATAGCCGGGCTCGACCAATTCTTTTAATACATTTCCATTACCACCAGCGCCTAACAAAAAAAATATAAGTAACAAAAATTAGTTGTCATAATTTTTAAAATACAAAATTACTTCCATACCTTGGTCGTGAATAGCCAAAATCGGATTACGATCGCCCATTTCGATACAAGCGCGAACAACACGATTCAATTTATTTTCCATTTCAGCATCGCCACGTTGAACTGCATTGAAATCCAATTCGGCACTATTGTCACCCTGTACTTCAACCGAACTTGCAGCTCCACCGCCAACACCAATACGATAAACGGGACCACCGATTTTCGCCATCAAATTTCCACGAGATGGATCAAGTTTTTGACGATGGGATGCGTCCATAGTACCAAGACCACCGCTGAACATAATTGGTTTGACGTATTCTTCACGTTGTTTTGTCGCTTTGCTTGTAACACCATAAGTCATTGCAAAACCACAAATCACCGGCTCACCGAATTTGTTGCCATAATCAGACGCTCCGTTTGATGCTTCGATCAAAATCTGAAGAGTGGAATACAAAAAATGAGACAATTATTCATGAAAATTGTCTATTTTGACCGAACCAAAAAAAATTTTTACCTTCAACGGTGCTGCAAAAGACGGTGGATATTCGTCGGTCTTTGATTCATATGGCATATCATAATCTGGAATGTTCAAATTACCAACACAATAGCCAGCCGTACCCGCAATGGCTAAACCGCCTCTTCCCACACCCTGAACATCTCGCAATCGGCCACCCGTTCCGGTGGTGGCTCCCGAAAATGGTGCAACCGCCGTTGGCATGTTATGTGTTTCAGCCGTAAAAATCAAATCTGATTTAACATCTACAATGTTCATTTCATTGGCATCAAACGATCCATTTGTCGTTGTAAACACTGGTCGAATGGTTTTATGTGTGAATCCCTTGATGGCACTACTGTTATCGCTGAATTTTATGGTATTATTTTGATTGGTGTTCTTTTGAGTTTCGATAATAAGATGAATCAATGATTTTTCATGTTCCACACCGTCAATGATCATTTTTCCTTTGAAGAACCAATGACGTGAATGTTCACTGTTACTCTGTGCCAAATCGAACAATTCAACACTAGTCGGATCACGGCCCAATACATTTTTAAATAAATTCAAATAATACTCCAAATCCCATTTGTCGAATGCCAAACCCAATTCATTGTTAACCTTTTCGAGGGCAGTGCGACCTTCAGACAGAACCGGCACCAAATACCAGTCATCAGACTTTGTCTTCTTCGGCAATTGCTCGTCGAAACTTTTAATCGGTAAATTTTCAGCAGTGTATCGGCATTGTGTCATACGATCACCCAGAATATCAACCATTTCATTCTAATTATTTACAAATAAAACGCTTTTAGTTTGAAAGGCCTTTCTTTTCCCGTTTGACAGTTACTTACAATTTCAGTTTTTGTTGGCACACTATTCGCTGACACATAGTATCGAATTGATTTTTCCAATCGTTTCACTTCATGTAGTCCAGCATTTTGGCAGATACTGACACTGTTTGTCGAATCAGCCGTGGAAAAATTGAATCTATGTGGCAGATAATAATTCATTTTTAGGTTTGAACGAGATAATAATATAAAACTTATGTAATGGAATATTTTTTTCCTGTTGTGATTTAAATAGCTGATGGTGATTTTAGTTGTTTTTTTCTCCTCTCGTTGTTTATCAGTGGTGTGTTATGAATGTATTAAGTTATTATCAATATACGAACCTTGGACCGATTTCAATAATGAATTCCTTGCCATTGGCAACAGATGAATCCCATGCCGATTTACGGGACAAAAGATCCACTTGTTGCGGTTCCTTTAAAATCCATTGCAAAACTGCTACTTTATCGTCGCCAAATTCACTCTTTGACACATCCACTTCAACGTGGTAGCAAAGTTCCGTTTTTAGTGAGGTTATTGTTGCATTGATCTGTGCATGTGAACGCATTTGAAAACAAAGAAATTATTATTAGAGGAAAATATCAAAAAATGACAATTTTGAACATTTTCAAAAAAAAAAATCATCAGAGGTTGGAAAATAAAACAAAAGTCCCTCTTACCTTTTTCAACTCATTCAAAACCAGATTTATTTTGGATGAATGGAATGCATCCTTAGAATAGAATCGCAAAACAGCCATTTTCAAAATAAGTCTCTTCAAATTGTTCCTCACACGTTTACCGTCGACTGTATAGTATCAACTAAAATATAAATTGAATCAGACGTTTGCTCGCGATATTTAATTAATTGTCTTAACATTAAATTTTAGTTTTTGAGAATGTGAATTAATATGTTCTCTTTGTGCGAAAAAACTCACGTTTTGTTAATTAAATGGAAAAATTACAACTGATTTATAATGAATAGTTGTATGTGGTCCTAGTGAGATGATAATTTAATTGTAACGTAAATAGATAAGAAGAGCTGATATGGACAGGTCACCGGGGCTATCAATCAAAGATTCAAAACACACAAATAAAGTTTTGAGGAACATATTGTTGTTATGGGTTTGCGACATTACGTCAAAATCACCAAGAGGTCGGAAAAGAATCCATACCAATAATCATGCGATAAGATGCATACCATTTACATATGATGTTTATTATTTATGTTATTATTCAATGACGAAGTATTCACTAAATATGACCTATAACTGATAACCGTAAATAGAACACTGTCGACATTCAACAACAACTTGAACCAACATCCCATAACTATCGAAATACAACACGCCAGTTATAACGATGCACATGCACACAAAGTTGGAGAACTGGGGTTGAAAATAATTTTTTGTTCAAGAAATACCAAACACCGGCTAAATTCGATATCATTCAGACTTGACATTATGTACACTTTCCCCACCGACCAACGACCGACCGAAATATCAATCGTTCGTCCAAAATTATCAGCTAACAATTAATGGAAAAATCAACTAACGATAAAACGGGAATAAATATTTTTAAAAAATTAACCTTTTTAACCACTTGTCGATTTTCTTGTCGCACACTGTTCCTTAATGGTTTATTTTGACTGCTATTCGCGTGCTGTATTTTATTTAAATTGCTTGTTAACTGACAGCGAGACCAAACTAGCATGAAGCACGTTTCAATGTCTCATACACTGATTTATTGCTCTCCATAACATATATTGTTTACATAAGTCGGTATTCGTCGATCTTGTGTCAACGATCATAATGGGCACCGATTTCATATGTATTTGCATATATACATCGGCGATATTTGGTCAAAACTTATTTACACATGCACAGTCAGCATTTTGAACAAAAAACCAATCACAATCATTATCACAGTAGAATCGATGAATTCATCTGACGACTCTAACGCCGCTCTAACGCCGAATCGAGAGATGAACAGTTTTTTTTAATAAAAACAGCAAAAAGTGTTGTTATAATTAATCCAAAAAAAATTGTTGTTTAATGAAAAAAATCATAATTAATTCTGTGTAAATAATACATTTGATGCGCCCTCTCTCGAAAATGGTCAGAAGTGACGTCGTACTAGAAGCATTCAAACAAACATGTGTTGGTTCAATTTTGCACGTACATATACTTAAAACGCCGCTCAAACTAAAACCGAACCGCATACATTCATGCTTGGGCCGTTGGATGCGAATGCTTGTGTCTCTGTGTGCATGTATACATACACGAATAGGAAACAACATACAGCGGAAAAAAGAAACGAAATAAAAAAAAACAACAAAACACGGCAAGCGGCAGGCATCAAATCCATACATACAAATTCATTTCTATTGTGTAGTGCCAAGCTGAAGTTCATACACCGCCGAGAGTGAAGAGAAGACAAAAAAACGAAACCAAGGAACACCGAGATAAAACAAGGTAAGTCTGCACAAATTTGTTTATTAATTGCAACGTTTCGTAAATAATAAGCATGTGATGCATCTAAACATCGTTTATAGACGCTTGTAATCATTCATATTAAATAATGCAAAACAAATAAACAAAAAAAATACAAATAACAAACCGAAATCGAAGCGAGTGGAAAAAAAGAAGTTTTTTGTATGACGCCGATTCTTCTTTTCTCTCTTTCTTGCGTTCGCATTCAGTTCGTTGCGAAACTGTATATGCATGAGTGGTGTGTGAGAGTAAATGTACGGACATGAAAATGCTCGAGTGAAATTTAAGTAGCAAAAAATAATAATAGAAGAGTTCAACTTTCGTTTGGCTTCAATGCATCCAAAATCCGTTTTGCACAACTTCAATGCACAAAATAAATGTCAAGCGACAAAATCAAATCGAATCGGTCGGGTCGTTAGATTCGGTACCCACACATAATTCATACCGAATTGACATAGAGAATGATTTGCAAAGTGCGTTGTTATAGTTTTCGATAGAATTTGTATTTTTTTTCTTCTATCCTTCGGCTTTGCTCTTACGATGTGAGCCAAAATCAAAATGACTGAAAATTTGTGTATATGCATTTTTTTAAGGTTAAAGTCTGTGTGAGAAAATGTTTGATTGAATTTTTGGATAAAAAAATCGCTATCTCATTATTTTCCGATTTGAAATGAATTGATTGCAAATCGTCAAAAGACCATCGTCATTCATCAGTCTTCTTAAGACCGAAATTAATTCGAACCCGAAAACAATGAAGCTTCACAATTGAAGAATTTGTTGCCAATTCAGTGAAAACTTGTGAGTGTCTCTCGTTTCTTCACATTCACCGCATATGGACGAACGGAAGAGTGAACAGTACAACCGGTGCCGTGATGAAGTGACGCACACACATACTACCGAACCGAAAAATTCATCGAATGTGACTCGTCTTCGTTGTACGTTGCGCGCTTATATTCTTTCGTCAATCTATATGTGTACGCTGTATATCTTTTTCATCGTTCTGTTATTTTTTATTCACTCTTCTGCTACTGCTGCAACTGCTGCTATTCCATGAGAGATTTTCTCTTTCACTTCGTTTTTTTCTCTTGATTGTCTTTTTTTCTCGCTCTTGATTGCCGATTTGAGACAATTTTAAGGAAGTAATTGTAAAAATAATAAAAAAAAATTGCTGTTTCGTTTAGATGTCAAGCAAACGTAAATCAGATGCCAAAGCACCAGCTAGTAAACGCGGTCGCAAGAAGAAGGTCGATGACGATTTCGATTCGGACAGCGACAGCAGTGCCAATGGTCGTGATAGTTTGGACTCATCGAAAAAGGAAAGCGTTGAAGTTCTGATCGAAAGTACAGAAGATACAAAACTGCCAGAAGAACTATTGAAAACATTCGATCGTGAACCAGGCAAATTGATGGTGGCTGGTATGGTTACGTGGGAATTGACAGGAAGACGAGATCCAAAGGGAAAAGTTACAACCATCCGTCCCAATCTTTATGTTTTCCATCGTTTTACGGATGAAATGGTAAGCCACCACTTCTTTTCCTTTGGGCATATTTTTTTTTTTTGATATGGCGAACAACAACCAATCTTTGTTCTTTTTTTTGTGTTCGATGCAATAGTATCGTTTGATTGTCAGTGGTTGCAGTTCGGCACACAGTATTTTAATCAACATGGATCGTAAAGCGCTCAGCTTAGGTCGTAATCAATTCGGTCAGTTGGGACAGCCTGAATTAAAAACGTATGAGAAACCAACACTGATTCCAGAATTGGAGAACGTAAATATCATTCAGGCGGCTTGCGGTCGCAATCATTCACTCTTTTTGACCGACACAGGTGTTGTATACGCTTGTGGTGATAATAAAAGCGGTCAATGCGGTGTTGGCAACAATACAACTCAAATCATTCAAAAACCAACACGAATCAACTATCGAGGTCCTCCAATTATTAAAGTCAGTTGTGGTGCTGAATTTTCCGCCATTCTTGATATTAAGGGAAATTTGCACACATTTGGTTTGCCAGAGTATGGCCAATTGGGTGAGTTACAAACAAAGCAAAAAAATGCTTTTTTATCAATTTTTTTTTTCAAATATAAAATCAATCATGACATAAATGTTTATTTCAAGGTCACAATACTGATGGCAAATACTTCATCAATTCGAACAAAATGTCATTCCACTTTGAAACGTCACCGAAGCGTGTGGTGCTCTACATTGAGAAATCGAAAGACGGGCACGTCACACCGATTGACGGTGTTCAAATTGTTGACTTTGCATGTGGCAACAATCATACGGTAATTGCAATCTTCATGTTATTTGCATGAACATTTTCCGTTCGCTCTATTAAATAAAAACTGCTGTTTACATAACACATAATTTTTCATATTTATAGGTTGCAATCGATTCAAAGAAACGTGCATACAGTTGGGGATTCGGTGGTTTTGGTCGTTTGGGCCATGCTGGTAAAATTAAACTGGAAGATTTCATTTGATTACGACGAACTCATTGTTTTTTCTTTTATTTCCTATTCAATTTTTTCTATAAAGAACAAAAAGACGAAATGGTGCCTCGCATGATGAAATTCTTCGATTCATCATCGCGTGGTGTGCGCAGCATTTTCTGCGGTGCAACATACAGTTTGGCAATCAATGACATTGGCGTTCTCTATTTGTTTGGCCAAAACAAAAAAACCGGTGAAGCTAACATGTATGTAAAAAATATCGATTTTTTTTATTCAGATAAAACAAAATTTAAAATGTGTAATGATGTTTTTTCAGGTATCCAAAACCGGTTCAAGACTTATCTGGCTGGCATATCACAAGCCTCGGCTGCTCAAACACCTCGATTGTCATATCTGCCGATGATACATTGATCGCTTGGGGTGCATCGCCAACATTTGGAGAGCTTGTAAGTTGAGAACACCAAAATGCTCATCATTTTAATGATGATTTGATTTATTTACAAAATGTTGGATTTTTCAGGGTTTGGGTGATTTACAAAAATCAAGCACCACACCAAAAGAGGTGAGCCGTATGGAAGGCATGAAGATACCACAAGTTACAATGGGATTGGCGCATACAATGTTGCTTGTAAACACCGAAGATGAGGCAACAAACGCCAAATATCTCAAAATGCCGGAGTTCACATTGGACGATTAATTGGCATCTCTATAAATCATTGCACCGAAACACACACACACACACATACATACAAACGAAACAAGAAGAAGAACAACAACAGCTATACAAAATATTTAAACGAACACTTGTTTTTATACAACAGTTAAAAGTAATCGCAACAAATGAAAACTCAATAGACCAATATATTATATATATATAGCATGTTTACGAAAAAGATTTATTTCATTCATCGATTGTGGGTATCAGTTCCATTGCGAGAGATCAAAGACAACAATTCAACGCAGATTTGATAAAAAAGTTGACATAGGTTAGAGTTAACATTTCATACGCTAAATGGTTTTTGAAATTCGTACGACAGTTTTAACGCATTGACACAACATCATGTATGCGTTGCGTTAGTTTTAACGCATCCGTATGAACACTTTAGCGTATGGAATTGTTTACATTTTTACAGAGATTCAACATTCAATTTTAATAGAGCAGAAATGATGTAATTTTTTTTATTGATTCTAATTATTTTTTCTTTACATATTTTGATGGTGATTTGAAATGAACAATTCTTTTTAGTTTAAAATTTGGAAGTAACGCAATCGAATTGAATAAAAGGGAGGTCTAAGCAGAAATGATTCGAAAAAGTATAAAATCGGTGTAAAGTTCAACAAAATCAATCCAATACCAATTTATCAAAGAGAAACACATTCTCCTTACATATTCTCCGAAGAAAGGCAAAAGATGATTTCTTTTACCAAAACCCCAATTTAAATATTAAAGGATGTACATTTGATGAAGATGTTAAACTCGAAATTCAGCGGCTATGTCGCTTTTGAATTATTTTAACAAATTGATTGAAAATTGTATATTTGAAAGACATCAATATTACTTTCTTTAATGATTCACCATTTGAATTTCTCCGGGTATGACTTGTTCATTTACATTCAATTTTCTTGTAAACGAATTCAATTGAGGGGAAAACATTGGTTTGAATAGCGTGTAGAATCCAATAATAACGTTCAAAATTGTCTATTTGTAATATTTTCATAATCAGAATCACCAATTTTCTATTTGATTTTATCTTCTGTTTCGTCAAATAAACACTATACATCTGGATCAAAATTGTTTTCTTTTATTTTGTATTGTAACGTTGTCTTTTCTTTCTTTTTCTAATTTCATCAATATTGGATGGTAATAATCAGATTGAACTGGAAGATTACGACGAAGTTTCTTTCTCTTATTTTCTTTTCCACAAAAAGATATCTATACAAAGAATTTAATTTATCATTCTATTCAGACTATAGAAATTGCAATAAAAATCATATATACTTTCACAATTGAAATCAAATGGTCTTGGCTTATTTTAAATGGATTCATTTTATTTTGTGAACGCAAACAAACATACTTTGGCACAAATAATTTGGCTTCAAATTATACTTACCACAAAACGTTTGTTTAACCAAAAAAAGACTACACAATTTTTTGTTTTACGTCGGGAAAAGTATATAAAAAAACCCGACATTTTATTTAGCTCTCTGTCATCACATTCTTTATAAATTAGCGGTAATAAAAGATGGGTATTTAAACCGGTGAGTGTGTTATTAAGTGTGTTATTCTTATTAAGTGTGTTATTCTTAATATGAAATATGTTTGCAAATGCATGAAAAAATCAAGTAAGCATGCTCAGTGTATCAGATTTTTTTTTCAAAATTACTGCTGGATGTGGTCCAAAATAAGACATCTGGCATCAAAAATCCGAAAAATTGGTGAAGAATCCAAAAATAGGGTCTATTTTGGGATTTGGAAGGTTTTTGACCCATTTTGGTCATTGCCATAA